GTTTTCGGACTCTGTATTGCGTGGGTCCTATTAGAGATCCACTGTGTGAGACATGTTCTAACGGCGCGCACTCAAGGTCATGTGTTTCTTAGTTATACAACTCGAGATACCAACGTTTCGGGAAACATCCTGTCCCATCTTCGCTGCTGAAGGGACTATGTTTCTGCCACCGTTGGTATCTGCCTACGAGTCTAGATGACGTCACAACCTAGAAGAACAATGTAAATTTCGCCGCCGTGAGAAAATCAAATCTCGCATTAATAATACCAATACGGCAGGCATGCTACCTTCTGAGGTTAAAGGTCATACTTTCTTACCTGCGTATTTGCTGAGTCGCGACGTTATGAGTCTGTAATTTCAGTACCGCGTGAAAATTAATTAACTCCAAGCTGCAGCATCTTCATTAAGACGCTGATAGTTACTCAGCTAGTCAAGAAATACTCTGCATTGTTCCCATAAGTCTGCCATTGGGCCCTGTGGTAAGACAGATGAATTCAGTTAGTTTTTCATACCTTGTCTTTCTGAGAACTGTTTTAATATCTACTTCTAGGTCTCCCAGATGGTATCGTCACTTGAGGTGTTTTAACCACATCCTTCATTATATTTATTTCTAATACATTTGTGTACGTTGAGAGGTGTTTTCATGTCCAGGCCTGTTCAAAAAGCTGGAATATTGTAATTTATTTAACATATTAGTAGATATGTTACCGGCGAACTATGAAATACGACAATGTACAGAATATAGTGCCTAAAGTCAGTAGGTAAAGTATGAAATTCAGGCATTCTATTGTGCCAGTCCAGGTTCGTAGTTCGATTCCCGAACGGGCTGAACCTCGAGATGAGGGGTTAACCAGGCTTTGGCATGTTAATCTGGTTTATATAAACGAAGGAGGCGTAATTATTTGGTACGCCTTACTTCATCCATATTTGGTTGATTTTATTAATTTTTGGCTTGTTAAATGTGTTAAATTGGAAGAAAGTGGGCATACCCAGTCGCTTGGACGTCTCTCTGCTCGACTTTCCGTCTGGAGGGAGTGTGAAATAAACAAAGGTTGTGCAATAGTTCAAATTGTTACGCGACGTGCACTTAAGTCACTCCAGACGTCGAATGACCCCTTTCCAGATGTGGAGTGACGATTGCATTACAACCAGCGCCTCACTGCGACTGACCAATGAATTTGAATACGGCTTATAGGCGCGTTCCTGCCGATATGGGGGAACGAATCAGATCGTCACATTTAATTCAAATTTAATAACAATTTCGTAATGCAGGAGTATTTAAAGAGCGATTGTGGTTGCGGGGCGCTCTTAAGCTTTGATCTTCAGGTCGTGCACACCGTGCTACACGTACTTCAGAATCTTTACACAACAGCCGATTCATCGTACTGCCTAGCATTAACTGTATCTGGTCTTAAAGTGTCTTAAGAGGCAAAAAAGTAAACGTCTCTTGGCTCACCATTGCAATGTATAGAATACCTAGGAAATGTATAGAATGCCTATAGTCAGTGGGCAAAGTATGAAATAAATCGTAATGTTAGTAATGTTTGGTTGTGTAAATTAAAATTAATCAAAATCGATTGGGTAAGTTATCAAGATAGAGGTTGTGCAAGCTAGTCGCAAAAACACCAAACTACTGAATAAAAAATGTTTTATATACGAACCTAACCTAACAAAAGTTTTGATAATTAAGAAAAATTGTTTTATATTAAGTTTTGGAAAATATAAATATAAAATTATATAAATGGTGTTACAGAAAATTCTTTGTTATATACTTTGCCTAAAGAATCTGCGGCATTTTATAAAATTCCTAGGTATTCTATAGAACACCTAGGCAAAGTATAAAATAAACTGTTAGTTTCATACATTGACTAAATTTTCTAGGCATTTTATAAAATACCTGGGCATTCCATAGTGTAACCGTCTTTCCACACTCTCGTCTCGATGTTTGCTTGTTGATGCCACGGGTCAAACCCAGTGACGTGCCAGGCGCTCGTACGGTTGCAGCTTCGAATTTTCTGATAAGTGCGGAAGGGATATTAGGAAAATTTGATAATGGGCGTGGGTTGAGGTCGGTGAGCATGGGACTCCGATTCCCAGGGAATATAGGGTGAAGGATTCATGTTTTGCGTAGGATGCGAAATCTCTTGAATAACTAAAGACGTCACTGCAGTGCATTGCCGGTAACATTGCCTATGTATTTTATACATTGCCGATAACAGATACAATACGTATTGGGGGCCATCTGTCACGCAGCAGCTTAAAGAAGTCCATGCCGCGGTGAAGAGGGGCCCATATGAACACTAGGGAAATTTAAACAATTTGTCTTTTTCATTCCTTTAGACTACTGAATATTTTAGGTAACTTTAATTTTGCTTTGAACATAGTTGAAGCATTAAATGCTCACTGACGTTGGAAGTGGTATTTATTTAAGATATTTATGTTACTAAAAATTCGTACAAGTAGAACTCATGAAATGCACTGACGTAAAGACCTGTTTAAAAATAAATTGAAACATTACCACGGACTGTATTTCTGCGCTGCTCCTCAGTGCTTGACTTGTCAGACAGTGCTAATGGTTTCTCCAAAGTGTAATTCATCACTCTTATGTGGCGGCTGACTTCGATCTGCTTCCCACAGTAATTATGCTGATGTCTGTGCTCGGTGGATAATGATTATGTTATTAGCTCTAGATTTCCTCTGTAATCTTATACAACGCTGAAATTTGTCACGGTAATAAATTATATATATATTCTTATTGCCGTTAATGGACATGCGATTATTCAAACTGATGATTTTAAAATGTATATTTGAGATTTTCACGGCGCAGCGGTGAAGATACTGAGTGTGGTATTTTCGTTTATGAAGCCTTCAGCCCTGAAGGTGATAACGCTACTCCGAAACGGTGAAAACCTCAGTCCGAATAGAAGCGATACGTTTCTCCAAAACTTCGGTAACTACCCATATGTTTAAGTGGCGTCACAAATTAAAAGACCACAATCGGCACATTACAATTAGTTTCATAGCAAAATTGCATAATGTAACGTAGGCGCTCAATCGTAGACCTAAAAATTGTATACGTAAAGTGAGTTACTTATTAAATGATTGAAGAAGTGAAAGAATAAATGGTTTGACAAATGAATGGATGAGTAAGTGATCGAGGGAGTCAAATAATGAACGAGTGAAAGGTACATACAGTATTTCTGTTTAGAATCTGAGGTTTTCACGGCGGTGAGTCCGAAGATGGCTGACTTCTGGGTTGTTGATCAGCAAAGACCTCTGAAACGTCGGTAAACTTCTACCAGGCTACACGGCGCAACAACCCAGAAGACAGTCATCTTCATTATTTATGCTGCTTTCTCTGTTTTAGTGATTAAGCTCTGGCGTGAGCAACGTGCATCATATCGGCTCATTCTATCTGTCTGTCGCAGTTTCGTTTGGGTACTCTAGTTACATGACCAGGATCATTGTTCCTACGGGGTACTCAACATATGCATTTTTCCTCGCATAGGTTTTTTTTTAATTTGGGTTTATTCTTCGTAAGAATTTGTAAATGAATGCGATGACGTGTCAGTCGGTTTGTCTGATGCATCTTTAAAATTGCTCGGTGTATCTACAAAATTGGTTGTATGGCTCGACATTAAATATGTATGAAGAATTTTATTCTTGTGGTTACTGGTAGTTATAGACCGCATACTTTTCCGAAGATGTAATAAAATTCTATAAAATTTCTCAAAAAGGGCATGGTACAAAAATTGGTGAGAAAATGCAGAGTTCATATAAGACCTACAACTTTTGTCTGAAACATTTCTCAGGGCGGCAACTATTTCTGACATTGTGCAGCGCATTATGTGTAGTGTCGTATGATCTAAAGCTTTCACGGCGACTACGTGTAATTAATTCTTCTCGGGCTACCAGCCGTGTCAGGTGGTTGAAAGGCGAAAACACAGGCACTTCGAGCAACAACTTCAGTACCCTGAAGACGAGGATAAGGAGGAAGATGGTTGGTGTTTCCTTCATTCAACCACCTGACATGGCTGGCAGCCCAAGAACAATTCATTATCTGAAGTGCATTTACTTTTAATAAGCGGTTTTCCTTTTGCAGTTTTTAAATATGCGGACTAAGTATTTATACAAAATCTCGATGACGTATTTAAAAATATTTATATTGCATCGGAATTCTTTTGTGTCCTTGTTTAAATTTTTTTATAAAATACACAGATTTCTTTGGCGATGTGTCTTCTGTATACAATGTAAGCCTGTTACTAACAGTTCAGTATTCACGAAGTGCAGAAAAATGAATATCAAATAAAGTGGCGCAATGTAAAACCAAAGCAATTTTTATCACTTCACCTAAGGAACAGACTCCTAGGACCTCCAAACCAACCCTCATGCCTGTCTCTCAGTTTCTCTTGAGCACTGCTTTGACCCAACTTGATGCCCGCTTACCAGTGAAGGTGTGTTACTTTCTAGAACAATAAAATTACGTTTTTTATCGATGCATAAATGTTCCTCCATTCAGAAACCCCTAGCAATGAGACAAGCTTGTGGACTGGGCGATCGGTGTTCGAATCGGGGCAGGGAGGAGGATAATGAGATCCACATACTGTTAAAGTGAGCGTAAACGGGAGGCCTTGAAGAAGATAATAAGTTGTACTAAGGATATGGATGCCAGGAATGTAGGGAATTTCTTGTATAAAATAAGATATAGATGGCAGAGTAAAGGTAGGAATTTATAATTGGAATTGGCAGAGAAGGTACAGTAGTAATAAGGAATACGTATAGCAAATAAACAGTGTTAATGGAGCTAGCTATTTAAGGACTGTGGCCGCGAAAACTCGGTGTTGGTGGCAACAGCTCACTGTACGGAGAACTCAACCAAATAAACTTGAAACTTGAATATCAAATGAGGTACATTTTAAACCTTTCGTGTTAAATACATGCATTAAACAAATGTGTTCTGTATAATGAGAGAATAATGTTGTGGAATTTCTTTTCCTCAGGGCTTGTTCTCGCGGATCACGTTCCGGGAACCTCTTTTTGTTGGCGGTCCGGGAAACACGACTGGTCTCGCTGACAAGCTGCCCACAGAGGATGGACTCAAAGGCTGCATTAGGCACTTAGAAGTGAATGACCATGCCTATAGCTTCAACTTGGCTCCCCTTGGGGACGCAGTCAAAGGGTTTGACGTCGGTAAGTACAGTTCCAGGGAAAAAATTTGGTGCCGAACACTGGAGATGAAAAATAGACTACAATCCGCGAGCGTTAAGAAAATACATGTGACGTAGGCACCCCGCTAGGCAAGTGATTTGCGCATGCGTAACCCACCGATTCCTGAATGGAGAACATTGTCTTTAGTGAAACAGTAATTATGACAATTTTTTTCTGTTTTCCGCTGTTCGTCGTCATTCGTTTTGTTATCTTATAATTGTTTTACTGTTATTAATTATGTCTCTTAAGTTTATATTTAATCAGAACAAGCACGACGTTTTTGGGTCTGCTATCAACGCAGTATGCGATTTCCCAGGCAGTATACGTCACAGGTGTTACATTAGGGTCCACATTACTTGCTGGCCGAGCTCCCTAGTGCTGTGGATAGTTGCACTCGACACGGTCTGGTCGGTGCACGGAACGGCCAGGTAGAACGAATAGTAAAAGCATGGAAGTGCGCGCACAGTGCTTATCACCTTGCTCTTCACCCCCCGCCAGGAATTCACAAGTAATCTGGTCCTTACAATAATTAACTCTCGCGTACAGTTAACATGCGTTTGTTTGTTTTTATGCCTTATTTTCATGTTTCTGTGTCTGTAAGCCCTTATATTTGGGGGTGGGGGCTTGGGGGGGATACCTTATCAAATTTGACCCTTGGATCTGACATTGGCTAGGTGTGGGGAACGCTTTGTTTTCTTTCGTGCTGGTGCAGTGTGACCTCAGCATATCGGAAGCTCAAATCGAATGCTGTAGTACCTACTCGTGAAAGGTGTATCGTACAAAATAATTTGTACGCCAGAAGAAAAAATCTAATTAAAATGTAAAACTTATTTGGAAAGTTTTTATGGGGTGAACACAATTTTAAATATTAATAATTAGAAATATGCGGGCTGTGCCATACTAACGCAGGGGTTCTCAACATGTGGGTCGCATGCAGCCCTCCGAAGTGAGGCTCGTCTGCATTTTGTAGTATTGTAACACGGTGTCTATTGGAAATTATTTAATATTTAAGTTTTAGGTTTTACTAACCCTACCATATAGACAGACATATGGGCATTTCGATGAAGGCAAATTTCGTAATTTTTTTGCAGAAGTTCTTTTTAAAGAAACCAGTGTACGGCGATTACCATTTGTAGTAGCGGCGCCATAAGACCTGTCTTAAAGTCTGTGTTCAGGTTTTGATAAGCAGACTGCGTGACCTATGAATATAAATACATCAGCTTCACGTATCTGAGCTTCATAAATGTTCTGTTCACTATCTCAATACCGTGCTTGATTCCAGGCTGTGGAGCATGCAGCCACTGGGAGAGTCAAGTCAATTTATTTTCAAAATAATCCATATCGAAAATTTTTATTACAGCGACGCAGGGAATGTTTTTAAAGAAGGCTGTAAAATTTCGGATGTCATTAGGAAGGGTCCCTCTGATGTTTTACTTCCTCCACTAACTCCGAAGTCATCATGACTAGTTAAACCAACTGGAAATTGAGTTTAAAGAGCTTATGAGTCATATGACGTATTCGTTACACATAGAACTTAATACAAACTCATGTGAAATCCTGAGAGTTCGTATCTCTGTAATGCCACCTAATGCAGGTAAATGTTTATGTTTTGGAAGCAGAATTCAGGGTAAAATTACAGTGTAAAAATATATAATGAATTATTCGAATATTTGGCGAAGTTCGAATAAATGAGAACGGCAGTAACAAATCAGAATTATTTTAATGTGGATACAAGGAACAGATTATATGCCAGTATTACAGTCACCGTTCAGTTCACAATCGCCCCGACATTTGTCTAAATATATTATCAAACGATTAAAATATAGAACTGTAATTTACCTCTTGTTTCATGCAACTGTGAACTTTGTTCTCTCACTTTAAGAGAGGTTTAAAGATGCAAGATGTTTGGAAACCAAGTGCGGAGAAGAACAGAGATGAATTAGTAGGAGGGCGCAAGAAATTGTGCAATCAGGAGCTTGATACTGCACCAAATTTTATTAGTGTCCATGTGAAGGAAGATTAGATGAGCTCGGTATGGAGTACTCATGGAAGAAATGAGAAATGCGTACATATATGAAATCCCAACCTGGAGGAAAATGACCATTTGGAAATAACATAATCTTAATGAAATAAAACTCTAGAATTTATGTCGCAGAGTAGCGTCGAATGGTAGGCTAATGTGAACATGGCAGTGAACCATCGGATTTTATAGAAACGGGAACATTTCTTTAACATGTGAGCGACTATTATCGTCTTAAGAGAAACTCTGTTCGTGGAGTCAGTTAATAATGATAACAACAACAACAACGAAAAATGATTATGTGGTGTGATTAGCTTTGCGGTTTTAAACCTGTAGCCTATCTGCAATAAATACGAACTACTAGTTAGATATGCAGCATTAAGAAGGGGGCGTTAGGAAACTTGATTAGGCCAGTTTCAGTTTAACGTTACGAAACATGACGACATGAACATGTTTTGTTTCTTTTTGTACCTAAAATCTCTTCTTACACCTGAAAAATAAGAACAACTGGGAAAGATATGTCGAGAGTAAAGGCTGACGGAAAAGATATATTGCAGAATGGGGAGTACAATGCTCATCTTTGCCTTGCACTGATCCAGAATATGGCTGCTTCCAGGTCTACATTCTGTATTCCACACTTTGGCCCCGTATGCACAACTACAGTATTGCATATAATAGCCAGAACATATTTTAGGATTTGTCGCCAGTATTAAAATTTATTAAAGTTGTCTTGTGGAAAGTGACGCCATGAGTACTTTTGAAGATGGACACAGGATGTTCCTCCGAAACGCTGGTATTATTATACAATCGTACGTGTATGGTATAAAATGTGTAATAGGCATTATGAATTAACTTATCCTCCGATAGTAGAACCAGAACTTTCAACGCCTCTGATACTAAAGAGCATTGGACACAATCTTAAGTCAATTCTATCCATCTTCCACTTTCACGATTTACCATCCTTAGATACATCTTAATGTTATCTTAACCAGTATTCTAAATGCATTTCTTGTCATTTACCATGTTGTAACCTCCATCATACAGCAACATGGGCAAAACTAGTTGGGCATGTACAAATAACATAACATAGTTCGCGCTTTGAAAATAATAAGTTACTTCATTCATTCTTCTTGTACCAAAATGCATCCTGGAATTTTGTTTCCGAACAGTTGTAATTTATTTTGTCAATGTAAGAGACTGTGTAATCATCGTAATCATAGCACAATAAAAAAGTATTTGGTGAGATTTTAGATTCTCGCGGTGGCAAAAATGAAGTTACCTCTCTTCTAGGTTGTTGCGCCTTGTACTGTGGTTGAAGTTTACTGACGTTTCAGGGCGATCGCCCTGATGATGGAGGCAGCAAGGACCCCTGAAGATAGCTAGGTGCCTTCAAACTTCAACAATATCGCTATTGTATATACAATGTGTATATTTACATTCAATCGAGATATTTGTCTTAGATTGGGTAAATTTATCGCTGTTTATTGTATATTCACTAAACAGCGCATCTTACATGCAGACAGAGCAGTAACATCAGAAGTGATAGGAGGGGCATACCTCGCCCAACAGATAACCTCCCTAAGTGGCATTCAGTGTTCTGCGCTTCTGATGCCCGCCAGCGGTCTTGGGGTATTTCCGACGTTTGTAGTTATGTCAAACCGTCTGAGGCCTTTCTCAGATGCACGATTCAATTAACTCCAGAATTTTTTTCCCCTTTAGATCTACTGGTCTCTAGTGCGAGCATGCCCTGTAGCCTAAAACCGAGCACTTAACCATTTTTGCTTCGTCTTCGTTAGTTATCCAGAGACCGAATTTCCTGACAAGTTTTCGTGGTTTTATGCACATTTGTAG